GCACTTATCCTACTGAGCCATCTCCCTGGCCCTATGAGTGGATTTTTCAAACCCACAACACCTCTACATCTATTGTTAGGCTTATTTACACAGGAGAATCTAGTACTTTATCTTGTTTTCCAGAGTTCTTAACTGATTTTTCTTAGGATTTAGATATGTAAATTTCTCAAGACATGTTGAGAAGATAATTTCTATCTTATTTCCAACTAATGGAAACATTAGTTGTCTTCAACACAGGTCTAATTTAAACCAGTTTCAAGACTTAATGTATTTTGAATGAACAAAGTATTGGAACCTCAGATTTTAGTCCAGTTCTGATCTACTCTTAGGAATCCTTTAGAATCTCAAATTATTGGAGAAAAGATCACCTTTTAGACTCCTTGCCTTGCAAGAACTCTGAGGTTTGAGGTTTTGATCCTTATCTTCAGAAGACTATTGATATAAAAGCTCGCGCCTTTAAGGACTGGCAAATGCTCTCTTGTGATGCAGTTTTTGTGGTCCCTTACCCCTCTGCATTCTCATTTTCCTTTTGGCTTTGGCCTGCACTACTTTACCACCTTGTCAGCATGTTCAGTTTCTGTTGTTATTCTTCTTTATTTTTGTTTTGCTTGCTTGCTTGTTCGTTTGTTTGTGGTACTGGAGACTGAACCCAGGGCCTCACACGTGTTAGGCAAGTGTTCTACCACTGAGCTACACCTCAGCCCTTAATATGTTTTAGTATTTTTTTCTAAATTTTTAGCTTTTTTCTATAAAAGGGTTGATCCAAATAATGTAGACTTCAGTTTTTACAAGCAAAAAGCCTGGGTTAACTGGTGTTTGGCTCTGGCTAAGAATGAGTTTTGAATTCGAAACTCATATTGCTATGGGTCGCTCAGAATAAGAACCAGATCAGCCAGATTGGAATTTGGAAAGCTGATTATTTCTGAGCTCAAGACCCCCAGTCAGCTCTTACGCAACTAGCTCAGGAAGCAGGGGGATTTTAAAACCTGGAACCACATTC